TTTTATTAGCTTTTATTTCATCAGCGTTATTAGATTCACATTTCCTTGTTAAAAAGAGCTCATCATATTTCTGAATAGCTTGGTTATAAAATATTTGATTTATCCAGCTTGTTAAAAATAATTTACATTTTTCATTTTTTCCATTACTTAATGTTTATTACTAATGTCAGAACACTCATGCTTAGAATGTGGTGGCAGTCCTTCCCAAGTCCTCATTCCAAACATCTGAGAGAGGACTTTTTCTCATTCTTCCTGACAGAAGCTCAGTCTGCTGCTGTAAGAAATCTGGGATTGTCCTCGAAGGGAGCCTTGGGAATCTTCCCTTCCCATTCAAGTCCTCTTTGTATCACTGCCTGTTCTCTATTTTGATACAATAGGTAGTGTAACAGTGACCTCATACCACATGACCAGTGGTTTGGGAAACTACAATACCTGAAAGAACTTCAAAATATCTTAATTATCCCCCGCACAAAGATTAAAGGAAGGAAGAGAGTCCCAGGAATAGAGAGGCTGCTTAATGTAATCATACTGCAGGATTACTCTTGGTTATTAAGGTCCTTGTTGGCTTGGGATGTTGCAGAGGATTGAAGTCACTCATTGTTTGCCTTATTACCTTCAGCAAAACATCTGAGGAGCAGGAACACTGAGTCTGCTCTCCAAATCTAGCCTTCAGCTTTGTGGTGCACATAATCTTTGCCTGGTAAAAGTTCAGGCTGTATCCTGAACCCTAATAGCTTTGGGCTCCAGCATCAAAAGTTGGCGGTGTACTTGAAAATATCTCCTTAATCTAATCTCATGATTTTGGGGGCATTACAGTATTTTTTTATGTCTAGGATTTGCATCTATACTATCAAGCATGTGTGGATCTCGGAATATTCTCAAGACCTAACTCTCCCATAATTCACACCACAAAACCCCTTGAACTAATACCGAGGCGTTATTTTAGCGTGAGCGCCAGGAGGTGGAAAAACTCTGGCTTCTACTCAGAAACACTGATTGTACTCAGTGGCTTTGTGTGGGCCAAGCTTTTGTTCAGGCAGTTTGCTTGGCCTGCAGCCAGGCAAAATCAATCATAGGAATGGTTCATCAGTTAGTACTGGGAGGTTGGGGTTTGGTTGGGTTTTTGGGTTTTATTTTATAACAGTGTAGATTATTTAAAGCCAAGCTGCGAGTGGGCTCCGTACAAAAAGTATTGATGGAAAATTTGTGGGACGTGTGGCTCAGCGTGTGCAGTCAAACCTCCTCCTCAGTTTGTAGTCTAGACATGGCCTTATGGCTTGGATTTGGAAATACTGAACCTCCCAGAGATGAAAGTGGGGTTTAATACCCTAAGGCAGATGGGTTGGAATGTGGAGAAAACCTAATAATGCAGGTTACTTTAAAGTCTGCAGTATGACTGTGGTCAATCCTGCTCTTTTAAATGGGGAGGGGGGGAATTTCGTCTCATCAAAATTTGGCAGGTACAATTCAAGATAAATAGTTTGACTCTCTAGTGACTGTGGTTTGGAAACAAAATTAAGCTTCTAATAAATTTCTGTAAATTTTCTTTCCGAATGTTCTGCTAAACACAACTTCTCTCTTGGAGGCAGCTGTAATAATACAATATTTTACATTTTATAAAGTGCCTTTCATCCTGAAAATTCCCTACAGACTTTGCAAACTGCATTCATTCAAAATCACCTAAATGTGACTAAACTGCATGGGGAGCAACAACCAGACATGGAGGCACAACACATACTTTGGATCATGGTATTTTTGGCCAAAACCACTAGACTAAAATTCTAACACTATTGAAAGAATAATACTTTTTTTTTTTTTTTAATCTACATGAAATGGCCAAGACCCTGGTTTTTCAAAATAATCAGTTGATTGTAAACTTTACCAGCCCACCAAGTACCTGGGAAGGTAGAAACAGTGAAATTATTTGGTGGGGACTGGAACAGTAGTAGCCAGGGTGCCTTAAAAATAACGCTTAGAGCATGAAGCTTTCCCTGCCAGATTTATCTGGATGCTGGTTCCAGCTCTCTGTGTTTTGCATGCAGATGAGACAGTTGTCGGGTCAAGCAAAAGCACTTTCCTACAGGAAGGGGATGAACTGAATTTTACTAGCAATCTTTTGCCAGACTGGTATGCTCTGCTAAAAAAAGAAAATACTAAACATAGCAGTAATTTAGGAAAAAAAAAAAAAAAAAAAGTACTGCACGCAAGCAACTAGTGCAAGTAAGAGTATTAGGTGAATGTACATGTTAAGGTCATGAGCTTTTTCATTACAGTGGAAATAAAATGGAGGATATAGTGAGTGCTCGTTTTGTTACCTTACAAAACTGTCATATAGCATTATATTTTGGCATCAAGTGTGTTGAAAGATCCAAAAATGCCGGATATAAGTTAGAACTCAGATGTCTACTTCTTTAGAAGGGAGAACTCTGACGGAGTTCAACTGAGATTGCGCATAAGTGAGGCAGGATGGAGCCTGCTGAAGAGTAGCTGCACCATTCACTGAAATGTTAGTTAAGGCTGGAAGAGTACTGGACTTAGTTTGTGGCGTTAGAAATCTTAAATTAAATTGAAACTGCATTTTTTGTACATTGAGACCAAAGTCTCAACAAAATAAAAATGTATTTCACCAGAAGAAAAAGATTACACTGATTCTTGTTTTATGTACTCTCTGCTATCTCACTCCTGCCAAGGGGCCAGCCCTTATCCAAACATTTTCAGTAAATTATCAATAAAACACTTATGGACAAAGCACAACTCATATGGTACAGATAATAAACATGTATATAAAACATTTTTAAATGTACATTTTCTTTTTCCCTTTCTAATTGTAAACTATAATCTACATACTTTCCGTTTTTGGTATGAGTTTTTGGAAGAATTCTCTTAAAACTGGACCATTTTAATTTTAAAAGAAAGTAATGATAACAATTGATGTTGTTTCTTGGGACCTATTGTTCATTAAAATTGTTTTTTTTTTCTTTTCCACACACAGTCTACTGGCCAAGTTGTGTGTTATTCTGTGCCACAGGCTGTAAAGTCTTTTATACAGTATTTCTTTGTTTCAAGGATAGCTCTTTAGAAAAAAACAGAAGGAAAATAGTCTTATTTCTTTTGAAGTGTATGGAATGCAAATTTTTCTTGTTTCTGAGATTGTATTTGCAGGAGAAACATAAAAAAAGGAAAAGTTATTTTGGCTGCAGTCTTTAAAAGAGCCAAAGAAAATAAGCTGTCCACTTCAGTTGGTTCACCAGGATGGTTTCTATCAGCTTTACATTCGCCTGAAAAAGCTGCTAAAGCAAGGCATTATTTTTCATTACAGCCCAAGAATAAGAGACTATGAAGCCACAAATATTATGCAAATTATTCATTCTAAAGGCTACAGATATGGCAAAATACTTGACGCACACATGAAAAGTATTTAAGTGTTATTTGTTACTGTTTTTAAATGGAAGGGTAAACAGAGCATGGAACCAATTTTACTGCATTTCCCAAAGCTTTTATTTTTTTTACTATTGGAAGGGCAAGGGGGATGGCTAGATGATTGGATACGATGCATCCAGGTACTTTGGTACTGAACTTCATAACCTGTATCTGACTGAAGACTGTGTTTCAGAAAGGCACTGAGATGTGAAGGAAGACTTCAGCAGACGCAGAATCCATCTCCCCTGCCAATTTAGACATTCACCCTTGCTATGAAGAATGTATGTCTTATCTGTAGTCTGAAAGTTTGGGCTTTCATTTTTTGGCCACAAAAAGATTTCTCCTCTCTAATACGACCCGGTACTTTCCCTTGTAAAGGTGCAGCACATTAGGTTTCAGTAATCTCTAAGTCTTTTATTTCTTGTTCATTTATCACTGTTGAGTCTCTCAGACAGCTACCAAGCTACTCAGCTGAACACAAAGGAGTTATTTTTGTCTCTAAGAATACGGTATGAGGCCTGCTCTGCACAGAGCACAAAACTTCAAGGCGTTCATGACAAAAATCTAATTTAAGAACAGTGCTGTCAAATTCTCAGCAGTATCAAAGTGAAGAATACCTCAATAATACCAGTGACATGTGTCTCCTCCTTTTACAAGCTTTGCTTCATCATGCAAATAGGTACTGCTGGAAAATTAATTAGTTGAGGGGCACCCCCTTCACCCATTTTTTTGACATATAAAGATCATATAACAAGAAGGGTGCCTATTTCAGACTGGTTGATGTTTTTGCACTGGATGCTGGCCATTTCTAGCTCTGTGCAGTCCAATTACGCATTCCCTCTAGAAACCTCTCACAGTAGAAATTCCAGAATCATTAGACTGATTTCACTGAAATGTACTGGTTAATGAATAAGTAACACAGACATTGTCTTTGATGCTAAAGCCAGACACAAATCAGGAGGTCGGTGCCTTCATGAACCAGAAACTAATGTGCTCCTAGAGAACTTGTGGGATGAAGGTTGGTGTCATTTGATGTGAACTGGGGGCAAGCTTACATGTTGAGGCGAGTATTATGGTTTCAGACCAAAATTTCCATCCCCTAGAGGTATATTTCTTCTGTATTTCATCAGGGCAAACTCCTCAATCTGCAGAAGGCCTTAGCAATTACACTGATGCCCCACATACCAGCAGAGTGCTACAGTCCGGGTGCATACCAAGGATTAAAGGCAGTGAATGCTGACATTTTAAAACACTTAAGGATACATATAGTTGCTCCTCGTGTTTCATAAGTGCTGTAGCAGTAACTGAGAAGTAACAAAAAATAACTTTTACTAATAAACAAGGATTAAATATAAAGATTGGAAATCGATTAGAAAATTGGAGACAGTATATAGTGAATAAAAAGGTGGAGCATACTATAAATAGAGTTCCAAATAGCTGCACATCATTACTAATCTCTGCTATCTCCAATTATGAGCTCTACCTCAACCACTTCATAGAAATCTACGACTTAAAGCCAAGAAAAACCCAAGTTCTTCAGTTTTTTGGTTTTAGTGTAACTTGCTTATTTGTCATTCCAGGCCAGTTCTCCATGTAGGAAGGTCACTCCCCACGAATCATGCTGCTTGAGACGTGACTACAGGACAGATGAGGCCAAGGCACAGGGCAGAAAGAGGCCATGAAGCAGAAAAGCCACCTCCTGAACCATGGTAGCTCCAGAATCTTCCTCCTCATCCAAAGCAGATGCTGGAAGGAGCACCAGGAAAAGAAACGTTGATGCTTTTCAAAGTTCACTGAATCGGTCACAGCTGTGAGTGTGGGATCTACATGGTATGAGGTCAACTTTCTTTGCCCTTGATTATGTATCTACTTGTCCAACACAGAAATTGCCTGCTGGCAACAGTTCTCATCCTGCAGAGGAAAGAGGAAACAGCAGGGGAGAATATCTTGGTGAGAGCAGTGGCAAAGGTGAGGGGAAAAGTTTACAAACCTGTGTGAGTTCTATTAAAATGTTGATCACTGTAGTTCTTACCGACTCAGCAGATATTATGGGGCACTTGGTACAACTGAGAATCAGACCATTAATTTAACAACCAGTTTTAGACTCCTAATCTTGAAAAAGTATTTGAAATGTTGGCTTAAATATCGAGAATTTATGAAGCATTTTGTACAGATGGTAATATAGCCCATTGCCATGAGCTCTTTCCGTTTCGTCAACAGATGCATAATGAGCCACACACTACAGGAACTGTAGATTCTATTTTTATTTTCTATTTGTTTTTTCCTGTCTTACTATTCTGCTAGGAGAGAATTTAAAGTGATATTGTATACTTTTGTAAACACAGAACCAAATTCCACTCTAATGCACACCTGTAGCCCTATTCAGTAAAAAAATTAAATTCTCATCTTCCGGCTTGCTGTGAGATTTTTTGTAGTCTGTCACGTTCCTTTCCCTGTTGTTACTACAGACTCCACAGGGACCATAAAGATTCACCAGAATCCTCCATTGTAAGATCTTCTTTTTGTGTTGGCTTTTGTTCTGGCAGGAGATAAACCATCTCTTTCACTTCTGGGATGCAGATGGGTATGGGCAACATTCTTCCTCTACTAAGTCATTAATCAAAAGGATCTATTTTTCCACATTTTAGTGGCCTCCCTTTTTCAAAATTTTGTCATTGAATAGACTGTTGAATATTTTCTGTCTATATAAGCCCAACCTTTTCCTAAACCAGCTTGGATTGATTAGTTTAGCATCAATATTCTGTAAACCATGCAGTTTTTCTACACTTCTAATAAAATATGGACACTTGAGAGCTTCCTACCTCCATGACTTATCGAAAGAGGAAAATGGGCAATATGTAACGCAGCAATAAAGAGCACCATTTACAATTATTTTTTCCAGATCTGGCATTTTGATAAACTTTAAAATTTTTCCTTGTGCATTCAATATTGAAAAATATCTGTGAGTTTCCAAAATCCAGTGTTGGTATCTTTGAAATAGATGTAGAACCATTCCTCCTTCTTTCAGGCAGCTCCGAAAGGCTATGTTGTGGGACACCATCTGGTGGATAAATGTAGTTAAAGCAAATAGTTGTATTTGCAAACAAGTTCTTATTTTTGTTCATACTATGAAGTGCCTCAGATACCTTACAGTTCCCATAGCCTTATGTAGTCTCATACTGGAGGAAGGTTAGAAGTACTCTGATGCAAGCCCTTCTCAAGCATGGCCTCTAAGTAACCCAGACCATGAAAGACCTTTGTGCCTAAAGTACTGATATGTAACTAATTTTGAATGGTGATGATACAAGTGGATGAATTTCACCATTAGAATTTCAGCATGTGCTTCTAGAGTATATACATTGCTTTTAATCACATCGTGAAGCAACCTCAAGCATAGAACTAGATTGCTTTTGGATGAGATCAAACTAGGAGATATGATCCAAAAGCACATCTAATGTTCTCCAGCCAGGGACAACTCCTGGGACCAGGCTAGAAATGCCCCTAAGAAAACCTTCCCAAAATGTATGTTGTGCATGTTACAGCAGCTTCCAGTACCTGAAGGGGGCTACAGGAGAGATGGGGAGGGATTCTTTGTCAGGAAGAGGAGCGATAGGATGAGGGTAATGGTTTTAAACTGAAAAAGGGGAGATTCAGATTAGATCTAGGGAAGAAATTCTTTGCTGTGAGGGTGGTGAGGCACTGGAACAGGTTGCCCAGAGAAGCTGTGGCTGCCCCATCCCTGGAGGGGTTCAAGGCCAGGCTGGATGGGGCTTGGAGCAACCTGGTCTGGTGGGAGGTGTCCCTGCCCAGGGCAGGGGGGGTGAAACTAGATGATCTTTAAGGTCCCTTCCAACCCAAACCATTCTATGATTCTGTGATTCTACGTTAAGCTCTCAGCACTAACTCCTTCATGCCACAAATCTTTTCTTATTAGCCTGCACTACTTGCTGATGTAGACATCCTTCATGTGACTCACCTGAGCCTACCTGCAGAGCAGAGACCACCCAGGTGGGCTTTGTGAACCTGACTGGAAACTTCAGTCCATCCAGGAACGTGAACTTCAAAGTGCAAACACAGATGGGGCAGGCTCCTGGACACCTGAAGATCAGTTACGTGGATCTAAGGTATGTAATGCAGCAGCTAAGCAAGAAGCCCTGGATCAAAACCTTCCTCCTTACTGAAACTGAGTCCAGAACAATTAATTTTCAGGCCATGCTTTCTTTTATTTCCCCCCATTGGTGTGATAGAATGAATGTTTAAAGAGATTTCCTTAGAAGTATTCTACTGAATTTCTTAGCATTTTGAAGACAGCATTACTGATATGTATGTTATATGTTTGCTTGAAAAATGCATTTTGCTCCTTTTATACTTCTCATGAAGCAAGAAAACAGAGGGATAGGGTGTCTTTTTTAAAATTTTAAAAAAAATGGAGGCAGAGAATCACATCTGTGTGTAATTAGAGCTGATGCGCTGAAAATTTACACATCTTTTGTGAGCTCATCCTCAACAAAGCCTCCCAGAATCCTCCCCTTTTGATGCCAACAAAATGAGTTTTATAGCTTGGACTTTTCTACATCATAAATGGAAAAAATAAAGCAGTGTGTTGGGAAATATTATGGGCACCACTATATGTCTAACAAGCAATAAATTGCTTTATGCTGGTATCTGGGTTAAGCCTGGCTGTAAATGTGTAAGTATATACAGCCATGTAGTATGCTGGTATCTGGGTTAAGCCTGGCTGTAAATTTGTAAACCATGTAGTACTTTCTCCATATACGATATGATATAGAATCTTAAAATATACAAGCTATATATTTAAAACAAATTAACCACAAATTCCTACGATTCAGAAAGCAGCAGTATTCCTGCAAAGAGAGAACAGCATTTACTGAAATTGGTTTTACTTGGCACACCCAATTTTTACTTTTATGAGGCCAAGATAAGTAACACTGATTTCTTAAGTTATTTTAACAACAAATTTAACTATTCAAGCTTTGCGTTCACTTTGAGGATTAGTATCAGATTGATGCTTCCATTCAAATAGAGTTCCTAATTTTATTTTAAGAAGGTAAGAAAGGCTTTACTGGGTCAGACCAATGGTCTCTCCAGCCCAGTTCTCCAGCAGCGGCAATGGGAGAGGCTGCTCACAGAGAAAACAAGCCCAGCTGTTTTCAGAGGTCTGTTCCCCTTTCACTTCCACGACACACCACTGCTGTGTTAGGGATGTAGAGGTACATCCTGACCCTCTGGAGCTACTGACCATCTATTTGTCTAATCCCTTTTTGAACATCCCCCAGTTTTCTCTACAGTCTCACGCGATAGCGAGTGCCAGAAGTCCACTACTTTGTGTTTAAGGAAATGCTTTATCTGTTTTAATCCAATGTTCTATTATTTTTATTACATTCTTGTGTGACAGAACAGAGTGAACAGAAGTTCTGCCTTCACCTTTATAGACTATTTTCATGACTTTTTAACCCTTCATCACTTTTCTTCCAAACCTTCTCCTTTCACTGCTGAAGTGTCCCAACCTTTTTAGTCCCTCCTTATAAGGTAGCTGCTCAATCCCTTACTCATTTAAGTTGCCTTTAGAGCTACATGTTCTTACACAGAATGCCAAGACATTTTTAAATTTTTTTGAAGGTTTCTCAGCAAATTCTGGGATCCAGTTGCCATACCCGTGAAAAGAAAACTGAAGGTTTCAGTATCATCAATCCGATAGTCGCTTTTCTAGAAAAAAAGGTTACTTTTCCTTATTGCTTACTCCTAAGGGTTCAAAAAAATGATTCTGGAGAATATAATTTGATTTTTCTCCTTACAGTTTCAACCTACTATTTTATATATAATGCTATTCATTAACTTCAAAATTTTGAAGCAGGCTATAGCAGGCTAATATATTTAGCTGTGTTTCAGTAATACTTACACTTTCCTCTAATGTGCTGTTTGGTTATTCCTTTAATGCATTTATCTATCTACAGCTCTTTTAATTATGTCAGGCTCTTCTGGAATGTCTTTAAAGTTTTCCTCAAAGACTCTGAATCATATATATTCTTTTCCTTCTCTGACACTCAGATTTCTCCTGCTCCAGCAACTTGGGCTGAACACCCGTTTTGAAAACTGTCCTTTTTGCTTTCCTTTGAGGGATGTTTTTTTTTTTCCACCTTATATATTAGAGGTTTAATTTTGCATTAGTTACAAGTATTACGTGCAAGTACAGAAGCTTCTGGCCACAGGTACGCTATCTTCTTTTCTCCCAGGAGAAAAATACAAGCATTGTGCTGACTGTTACTGATTTATAGAACACAAAGGCCTCATTCATTCTCATTTCAAGGTCATCGCTATGTGATCTTCTTGACAAGTTTGAACAACTTGCAGATAAGCATCAAGAAGTCCTCATGAATAACAATGACTAAACTGTCAAGACAGTAATAGTATGATTGAAGAGAGCATCCTCTAAATGCAACATACACTGAGGAATGTGGGGAAAACTTCCATGCCTTACAGTTGTGATAAAATGGGATGTGCCATTTTTAATGGAATGGTGAACTGAATTACTGACTGGAATCAAGTCTTAAACGAATTGGCTTATTTAGTCAGGAAGAAAGGAATTTTGACATTTGGAATAAAGCAGAGTGATATGCAGGAAGCTCAGAGAATATAATCTCTTTCTCTGGCTCCTTTGTTCCTCTGTGGGAGGCCACTCTTTAGCACTCAAGAAAATTCCTTGATGCTGTTGAGTTTCGTATGAGCAGATTGACAGGATGCTCAGTTTGGCAGAGCTGTCTATTTCTGATCAGGATTACAAATAGCGGCGGTGGCAAAGATCCAAACTGACCTGTACTGGCAGAATAATTCGAGTAATTATCCAGGCAACCATACCCCAAACATATTTTGTCCTTTACTTTCATGTGGAGTTCAAAATGCTGCAAAAATCTCATGGTGTGAGTTCCGTGCTGCACATGTTGATTAATAACGTGGTGAGGTACCACGTTAAGAGTGAGACAAGAAGCTACGTGCAACAAGGTTCTCAAGAGTGATAAACCAGGTTTGTTTCATTCCTAGATAAATTTCATAGAAGTAGGACACATATGTGAAAATTGGATGGTAAAGATTCCCATGCCCGGTACAACTAGGAATGTCATGTATACTCATTAAGCAAACAGAAACAAGAAAATAGTTTGTATGTATTTTGGAGGTGCACACAATTCACAATAGACCAGGTTTCCAGTCTCTGTGCCAGATAAGCCTAGCCAAAAAGGATAATTGATTGGGTTTATGCACCATTGCACAGTGTCTAAAGGCATTCATAATCTATGGTTGATTGCATTTTGAATATTGCCAAAATGAATACAATCCCCTCACTGTTGAACAAGATCACCATATTTATATTGACAATTGAGAACTTTGAATAATACATAGTCCCATCACATCTCGTCTATAAAATTAAGACTCTTTTATGTCCAAAATAAAAAACAGATTGCACAGTCCAAATAGTTAGCATTTTGTCAGCATTTTTCAATTAAAATTGCTTATTTGTGTAAGTTGTGTCTTTGTCACATAAATATGAAAATTCATTCTCACAGTATGGATTTGGATTCAATTCAACTTCCAGTTTTTCTTGTATGTTCTCATAGTAAGCTATCTGCCCTCTCAGAAGGAGATATAAAGGAAGTTCTTAGTTTGTGAGGCTGAGAGAATAAAACAATGTTCCCATTTAAAAATTGTTTGTCTCAAAAGTTAGTATTAAATATGCAGACATCTTTCAAAAAGAGTGACCAGATTCACTGTGACAAAGCACAGGCTGCGGGAGAGCGTGTTCTCCCTCTGAAAAGCATCGCGCTTTGCAGCCGAAATTTGGAATAAAAAGTTATTTCAAAATTTCTGATGGAACATGGGAACAATCACTATATTCTGTGAGTATCTCAGTAAAGCAAGAACGTAGGACTTTTAACATACCGATTTTCAGGACTTCAAAAAATTCCGAGACTCAAACATAGGTATGGTTTAGTGATGATGCTCCTTGTTTGTTGTGTGGGTGTCTATTTTTGTCAGTCAGGTTGACGGTTGGACAAGATGATCTTTAAGGTCCCTTCCAACCTAGAAGATTCTGTGATTCTGTGATTCAGTGTATGCATTTCTATGCAGAACGCTGGCTGTTGTGTCTGACCGCCTTGCCGAGGTGACTGAGCATCTCTGCTGTTACAGAGCACCGGTTTGGAATGTCACTGTGGAACATCTAAGGTACCTGTTCCAAAGATTCACACAGAGTCACGGAACTGTAGGGGTTGGAAGGGACCTTCAGAAATCATCTAGTCCAACCCCCTGCCAAAGCAGGTCCACCCAGAGCAGGCTGGACAGGAACACGTCCAGGCGGGTTTTGAATGTCTCCAGAGAAGGAGACTCCACCACCTCTCTGGGCAGCCCGTTCCAGGGCACTGGCACCCTCAAAGGAAATAAGTTTTTCCGCATGTTGAGATGGAACTTCCTGTGTCCAGTTTGTGCCCATTGCCCCTTGTCATGTCACTGGGCACACTAGGCCTGGCCTAATCCTCTTGTCACCTGCCCTTTAGGTATTGATGAGCATTGCTGAGATCCCCTCTGTCTTCTCCAGGCTGAACAGCCCCAGGTCTCTCAGCCTTTCCTCATCAGAGAGATGCTCCAGTCCCTTGATCATCTTTGTAGCCTTCACTGGACTCTTTCCAGTAGTTCCCTTTCTTGAACTGAGGGGCCCAGAACTGGACACAATACTCCACATGCAGCCTCCCCAGGGCAGAGCAGAGGGGGAAAGATGACCTCCCTCAACCTGCTGGCCACTCTCTTTTTAATGCACCCCAGGAGACCATTGACCTTCTTGGCCACCAGGGCACATTGCTGGCTCACGGTCAACTTGCTGTCCACCAGGACTCCAAGGTCTCTCTTTCCAGAGCTGCTCTCCAGCAGGTCAGCTCCGAGTCTGTACCAGGGCATGGGGTTATCCATTTGTGTCAGTTGTGAAGTTCTGTGAGAACGCTGCAGAACCACTTTCTACCTTTGTTGAAGCTGTTTCTAAAACATTAATGAGGACTTCTTTGGTTCTTTTAGGCAGGATGGGAGATCAGAGAAAATTGTTCAGCGTGTGCTGTTTAATTTTAGCACACACATTGTTTGCCGGAGCTGTTTATGTCTGTGGTTAGCACAGTAATAGAGAGGGGGAAAAACACAAAAAAGAACCAACCAGAAAGACAGTTGCAATGAATGGCAGTTTATCTTCTTCTTATTTGTGGTGGGGTGTTTTTGCTAGTGATTATTTGGGAAAAAACCAGTATTTAACTACAATCCCATCCACCCAGGAGTTAAATATCCACCGCATTTTGCAAAAGTATTTCAACATTCTGAACTATGTCCTTGTTGAACAGAATATTTTAAAGATTTATGTGAAATGCTTTGTTTCAAAGTAGTATTTTTTAAATGCCAAAGTTCAGTTCTTACAATTCTTCTTTCCATTCTGAAGTTACATAAGTTTCCTGGATCACTAGAACTTCCTAAAAATGTTTGGCTTTAGCAGAACAGTATATTTGAGTAATATTTTAAGGTGACAATCTTCTTAACACCTTGAATGAGCTAAAATAACCAAAGGTGATGCTATGTATGCGGGTGTGATTAGATTTTTATTTTTTTAGGACATCAGACATACACCTTTTAATGGAAAGTTATTCCTACTCATCAATAAGCAGACACACAAAACAGGGAGCTTCCTTCCATCAATAACCTTTAACTAACAGCAAATCTTCTTTTCCTCAAGGCAAACAATCCGGTAGCTCTGACACCTGCAGCTACTGGAAACATTTGTCTAAGAAGGAATCAAACTAGTGGGAGCCTGGGGAAATATAAATAGAGTAAATGGATTGAAAATACTTCAGCTGGTGCTTAGAAATTGTACAGTTACGAAGTACTACTCTTTACTAATAAAAACCCCCGGAACTCGCCAAAAAGTCAGCTTACTGTGGTGTTGGAGCAATTAACCAAATGTACTTAGAAGAGGAGGAAGCTGTATTATAAATTAAAGCAGTGTTTATACATGGAACTATATGAAGGTAGACCAGCTCTCCAGGATAGCAATTGCTTTTAAGGTCTGCCGAGACACTTTACATCTATCACTTTATTTTAAAAACACAGATATTTCTGTAGAAATGGAAGTGGACTCTACCCATATGTGACTTTATAACTGTACATGTCTTTTTAAAAAGAAATCACAACCTGACAGGCACAAAAGCCAAATTCTCAAAGGTACCGGTGTACCTAGAAGTCCATGTAGTTATCTAAAAGTTCTCTATAATTCACATAGTTTGAGTAATTCCTCTAAGTCTGACAGTTCCAAAGGGTCCATATTGTGTTCAAATTGGGCTCTGCTACAATGGCTGTTATTTGTTTGAATTCCCTACCACTTTTACAAACATACTTTCAAGTGTTTTTCTCCCCAGTACAGTTTTGTGAACTTGAACACATACTTTCGTTAGTCATGGGCCTAATTAATGCCAATAGATACCAGTACACATACCGTGCCTCTACATATCATTGCAAGATAATAATATGAAAAATTAGAGCTTGGGCCTAAGAAAACTTTCATCTTAATTTATTAAACTCTTCCTACGTGGCAGTGAAATCATCCTGCCTTCCAGCTGTAGAAAAACTGGAAAAGTCAATCACAACTACGTAGTTTGTGAGAACCTTGCAACCTTCATGAAGGTGGTCTTCACACATCTTCTCCAACCCTTCATCATTCAGGGTTACCTGCTCCCTTTTGCTCAACCATGAAGGCAAGAAAGGAAAAACAGAATCAGAAACAGCTGTGAAACGTAATTGTGCTATTTTCATTCTGCTGCTAATTGGCAACAACAAAACAAATTTATGAATGTGATTATGTGAACATCAGGAGAAAATAGTGGACTTGATATAGAAGGTCTGCTCCAGGTCTAGATGCTATTTTCTGTGCAGGACATACAGTAACAGTGGCTTTTGCCATGTACACAGGTTCAAGAGACACCTGAGAATTAATCCATCAACTGCCTTTGATACACTGCCACAGTGTCCAGATGTCACTTGATCCTAACTCTTACTAGCTTTACCTATTTTTTGGTACCTTTAGCTTAGGTACAGTACTAAGTATATGGTATTCATTAGAGAATAAGATCAGTAGTAGTAACGTAGTGTATAATTCATTCATTCACACAGGTTAGATCACTAGAGCTTGTGATAGACTAAACAGAACTTACAGGACCCCAAAATATCAAATCTATCAGATGGATGAGTCAGGGTTTTTCCCGGGGCAGAAGGCACGAAGAAACAATTTCAGTGCCAGGTAGCCAATAAACATAATTTATCCCATATTTAGATTAAGATGCGTGATCAGTATTATATAAATTAAGACTTTTTGTGTGATTAAGGATAATTTTAAGAGTTCTAGTATTGGATTGCATTCCTTTTCCTTTGAATCAATCTACATGCAGTTCTTACATGTATAACCTCACACTCTTTCAGAGCCTCATTGCCAACATATTAAAAAGACCGAATACCAAAAGTTTATATGTGAAAATTACTTTGGCAGCCATCACAATTAAAAAACTATTTGAAAATGAGAAGTTAAGGGGTTTTCTCAGTATCTGTAGGTTATGAAACCAAGCCAGTGACAAGAGATGCTCTGAATTAACAGGCACACTGCCCTCAGACATCAGCCAGAACAGTAGTGACTTCTACATGTAGAGAGCTCTGCAGACCTACCTTTTTTTTTTCCTACCCTTTAAGAAAAAGTTATTACTTAAATGCTAAGGTGGTCAGTTTTGTTGGGAAGCAGTATTAAAAGTTTTAAATGTGCATAACATGTTTTTATGAAAAATACCAACAATGTTAGTACCTTGATTTCAAGGACTGAATAGAGAATTTTTACTTACGTGCCTACCAGCGACACTTTTATAATAACTTCTCTATTAAAATACCTTCCCATCAAGCCTCAGGAATTCCAAGCTTGCACATTAGAGAAGACCAAAAATTCCAGTTAGTCATGTTCTGGAAAGCACATGTGATCATAGCAATGGAGACTTTTCTTTTCTTTTTTTTTAAATATATGTTAGGATAGATAGAAACCACCGTGGAAGTGCACATACAACTTTTTGAAACGTGAGGATATACATTTCTGAGACTGGAGTACAAGGATCATTTGACATGATGTTGTTTACGTACCTGTAGAAGAACTGCAGTGGACAAGAACTTCTTCTCTGCCTGTTGGATTAGACTTGGAAGCTGAACTGCAGGAACACTCCGGCATGTGGAACGGCTGGAGAAGAAAGTCAAGATCTGGTTATGCTGAAATGAATGATACAGCCCAATTGTGCTGATAGATAAATAAGACTAAGCATTTCTAGACCTGTTGGAACACTTCTCCATGGGGCCTGTCACACTGGTGGTGGTCTGTATTCTCCAGGGTAGTATGCAGATGTCCAGTCAGACTGAAGCTGGATTTGCATGAGGTAGTTCATAGCTATGATACAATCCCCTGGGAAAATTACTCTGTAGGCTTCATGTGGACTCTTTTTCCTTCTTCCCTTACACTTACCATTGAGTAACATGTATTCATTTCTGTTACACATAATACTAGAAAAACTAAATTCAAATCTCTCATTTCCAAAAAAGGAGTCTAACCATTTAAGCTAATTGCTAGCTTCAAACTGAAAATAGTCTGAGCTGTTTAAATATAGGGTCAGGCTTCTATCATTTATTGGAAAAAACCCTCACGTTCTCCCAAAATTCTGCTCTTGTGCTTGTTAGGGTCACCCCAATGTCGTCAGTGCCATCAGCAAGATTAATAGTGCGAGGGAGAGGAGTGATCCAGATGCCTGAGTGCCTCAGCCAGCGCGGAGTATTTGAAACATCTGCACGGGGCTTGCAGCTACTGGACCTACGGGAGACCGCGCTCTTCTGGAGCAAGAGCTGGAATGCAGGTGGGAGGTCCTACCCATCTGTCCTCAGGCTTCTGGGCTTCACCCGATAAACACTGATAAAATATTTCCGGTAACAAGAAGGAAAAAAGGAAATATGCATTTATCTACAGTTTTTTGCATTTACTTCACATTTTTTCCAAGTGAAATCCATTTACAACCTCAGAAGCAGGTTAATTGTACTAGTTTCTATGTAGCATAAGACACGTGATTTTTAATTTCTCCCAGGTAATTATCTTTTTTTTTTTAATTGATGGCTGTTCTGTATGTATGTAGAACTGTATAAAAACGTAAGGTGGAAGATAATTCTTTAGTAGGATCTGCTTTCTTTGAGGGGGGCTTAGATTGGATGACCTCCAGAGATCCCTTCCAACATAAATTCGTTGATTCAATGCAATAAAGATGCAGTTTTTAAAAATACCTTTCATAAAAAGCCATACAGCACAGTACCTTTGATAACTTTAATTAGAGAAGACATTAAACAAAGGCACTGTGCAGGTACACTGTAATGGTGTATATTGTATCCATTTCTTCAAAAATGTGGTGAGTGCAATCTTGCTATGTTATTTTTCATTGTTAAATATTTTTCTTTTTACATTAAATAAAGGTGCTGTAAAAATGCAGGCCTTGTCAGGGAGGCACACTGGAACACAACATTAAATCTGGGGTCAATGAGACTAGAAAGGTGAGAGTAACATGCAAGTACTTTAAATTATCTGTATGAAAATGAAAATAGATTTTACTTAAAATATTTGGGACATTGCATGAAAAAAAATCTTACTAGTATAATAAAGAGAGAAATGGAGACCTTCAAAACTAATTTTTAGAAGTCATATAGGACTTCAGAAACAAAAATGGAATATAAACCCTGAAAAATTAAAGAACATAGTTCGTCTCATAGGCAAAGAACAACAGGATTTTTAAGATTATAAACTTTGGTGATTAAAAATATCAGGTATTAGCATGGGGTTTATCATGTTGTGTCTTTCACTGCTACTGAACAGTAGGGGGAAGTTACGAAGAGCCATTGCACTATTGATTTTTCAGTAAAGCCCTATCAAAATCATTGGGCAGTCAAAAAACAACAACAAAAAATGTTAGAATGATTTAGTCCATCTCCTAATTATTGTCCAAGTGTCACTTGCTAGACTGATAAAACTCTTGGCACCGTATTTTCCCCCGAGAGGATGGAAACTGTGGGAGACTGGAGCATCCAAGCCTCTCAGCAACGCGGGCAAAAACAGGTTACACTTTAAACCAGGTTTAATCTGAAATTTTCTATCCAAACCAAACCTGTGTTTCTAGAATGTGGTCTCCAATGTGACAGAGTGACGATCCCCTCTGCCCACAGTGCGGGGCCTCTGAAGTACTTTGGGAAATAAAAGGTGCTCCTCTTTGTGTCAGATGAACTTCCCCAGGCATCTGCAGCCCTGGTGGTTCACAGGAGGAACCATCTCCTCTTCTGGCCGACCACCTTTGTCAGTAAAACCAGAACATCTGTGCCCTCCCCTATTTTCATGTCCTGAATAATCCCAAAAGACAAGTGATCATTTCTTCATTTCTGCACAGCAATCTCAGAACAGCATTAAATTGGTGATAGGTTACATATTTTGGAAAAGGACACCACCTAGTCAGTATAAAATATGGCAATAATTCAGTTTGAATACAAAAATACTCATTTTCTGTCCAAGTTCCTTTAGGCTTGGATTTAAAGTGTCAACTTGCAAATGCAGAAGGAAAAATAGATTATTTCATTTCAAGCAGTCGGTTTAGTTTTCAGACTAAGTCTGTAGCTCACAGTTATCAATCGAGACAAGCACCTCCAAAAAACCCAAAACTTTCCTAAATAAACCTCAACCCATGTATGTCACACCTCTGTGTTGGAATGCAACAAAATAGGTCCTAGAGGTTCCCTCTCTCCATACTTTAGATTACTGAATTTGTTTGTCATACCAGGGTAATTGGACTCCTTGATAAGACAATTTTATTATTGAAGTGTTTTTTTTCTTTAATAACCATCTCACCTTTCGCTCTTCTGAAGTGGTAGCCTTATCTTGTTGATTGAAAACACCGAACTCAAATGTAAAAGGGAAAAAAAAGATGGATCTGTGTACCAGTTTCTTCTTCTTCGCTACATTTCCTCTTTTTATGATTTTTAATACCCTAGAGATATTTTTGGAAGCTAAAATAAATGATTAAAGACATTTCTGTTGTCAATTTTATACTTTTAAGATGTCTAGTCTTTCTTACTTGAGGTTTCTATTTGTTTAAAACTACCTAGCTGAAATGGAAGCCACCCACACAATTTTTTTTCTATGAAAACGAGGTATTTGCAATCAAATACTTGTCCTGCAGTTCCATTCCACCGTCACACACCCAACATCTAGTTTCAGTGCACTGAACAAGCGAAGGCACGCTCGTAATTAATTCCATGAGGGACAGGGTATTCATGCATTTGCACACACAACCCTTGCTCTTTGTGTATCAGTTCCACATAATTTGCAGTGACTGTTTCTGCTAACTTGAGCACTCCGTGTAAATTAAATTCTAAATAAAGCCTCAAGTTTTCAGATGTATTTTTGGTGTGGCTTGATCAAACATTTTCTATTGTCCTACACATACATAAGCATGTGCGTGCACACACACACTGGAAATGGTTTTTTCTCTGTCTCAGCTTGTGCTGTGCAGTAAAAGGGTTATAAACATAACACCAAGGCGATGGTCGCTCCCACATGTGGATGCCATTTACAGCCAAAGGCCGCCTCAGCGGGCCCGTCCCAGGAACGCGCTTCCTCGGGCCCCGAGGTGACCCGCAAATGAGCGTAAGGTGTAAATTAGCGGGCAATTAAAATCGCGAGTGTTTTCCTGATCGATAGGTGAGAGAGACACAGGTGCAGGTAGGATTCGTGCTTTAAAAAACCCCACCCGTCCCCAGGAGGCCCAAACCCCCACAGGAAGGAGGCAGGAGCGAGGTGGGTCTCTCCCATCTCCCTCAGCCCCCGCCGTCGGGGCCGCTCCGGGGTAACGCTCGGGCTCCCGCTCCGCCGTTAGAGCGGTGCCGCCGCCCCACAGGGAGCGCTGGGACCGGGCCCTGTCACTCCCCGGCCCCGGGGCTCGCCCTCCTTCCTCCCGCCGCCTAGGAACAGGACGCCAAAATGGCGGCCGCCAGCGCCGGCGGGCAGGTGAGCGGAGCGGCGGCCTCACCCCGTGCTGCTCTCCCGCCCGCAACGCGACCGCCACTGGCGCGGCCCCTCCGGCCCCGGGGCGCTCCTGGCCCGGCCCCTTCGCTCTGCCGGGCCGGGGGCGCTGGGGAAGCTCTGGGCGCCCCGCAGCAAAGGGGGGCGCGTTCCTCGCTCGCCCTGTCAGCGCGGAACGGCCCGGGGCGGCTCGGCTCCTCCGAGGCAGCCTGCCCTTGGGGGCAAGGATTCGGCCGGGAGAGCCCGCAAACCCGAGCCGGCGGGGGGGCCCGACCGGGGCCTGGTGTGGTGGGAGCCGGGGCTGAGGGGAGGGAGGCTCCCGGGGCGAAGCGGGGGGACGGAGCCATCCCAGATGGTGGAGTTTGAGAAATACGAGGTCTCGGGGCAGGGCCGTCGGGCGTGGTGCCTGGGGCCTGTGAGGGGTCTGTGGCGAGTGTGACCGGTGCAGCCGGGCTCCAGCAGGTGCCACAGGCCCAGCCCGCCTGGGGGTGCCCCCCCAGTTGCCCTGGGTGTGTTCAAGGTGCCCCCCCAGTTGCCCTGGGTGTGTTCAGGGTGCCCAGAATACCCTGGAGCCGTGGCAGAGCACCTACAGGCTGCCATTTTGTATTTGCATAGACCAGTGATGGACACAAACTTGAGTGTAGGAAGTTCCACCTGAACATGAGGAGGAACCTCTTTACTTTGAGGGTGGGTGAGCCCTGGACCAGGCTGCCCAGGGAGGTGGTGGAGTCTCCATTTCTGGAGACATTCAAAACCCACCTAGACAAGTTCCTGTGCAACCTGCTATCGGTAGACCTGCTCTGGCAGGGGGTTGGATTAGATGATCTCCAGAGGTCCCTTCCAACCCCATATCATTCTATGATTCTCCACAGAAAAAGAAAATTAGCACAGATGTTGCCTAATTGTTGGAGTATTTTTATCAATTTTAAATAGGGACTGCTAATTACATTGGTAATACCTCATTATGTCTCTTAGACTATAGTTTGTGAGATGCTGTGATGCATAGATTGATTTTGGTGTGCATATTAATTTAGACACCAAATGGGCATGTGTTATAATGCTATGAATGTATAGTAATGCAGTATATTTTGCTGACAAATATACTGTGTGCTGTCAGGCAATAGAAAACCAGCTGAAGATCGGTGGCTTTAAGAGGAACGTGGATGTATTAGCATTGTATCTGGCTGGACAGTAAGTGGAACATGTTTCTCTTCAGCTTTTATTAAAAGTAGAGCACCATAAATGGTAACCTTCTTAGTGCTTTCTATATCAGATACTCTCTGAACATGATTTATATGTAAAATATCAATAAATTGTATTTATATCTTGCCCATACATGTTGTATAGGAAGAAATGGTGAAGATAGACTGACATACTCAGCAGAGCTGTACTCGGAGTGAAGCAGTTAACTGCCTCAGCCCTAGATACACAATCCTCCAGCAACCCAAAATCGCTGGAGGGTCTGTGAGTTCACAGGGTTGTACATGAACTTCTACCACAGGGAGCAGAGGAGAGAGGCTTAATGGGCTGAGCTCTGCCTGTTCTAACTGGCTCCTAAGGCTGGGTGGAAGGAGTATCAAGAAGGCAAATGGAAAAAAAAAACCCAAAAAACAACACAAGACCTGCCCAGTCTAAGAACTGCCAAATTTCTGACCTCCCTGAAGAGATCTGTTATTGCAACAGTAAACTCACTGGTAGCACCTTTTGAAATTACCTGCATCTCTGCTGTTAAGAACTGAAGGGAGGGCAGGGCAACATGAAGTGAGAAGAAGAAGGCTTGTTTGGGGCTGGCAGTGCTGATCAGAG